GGGGGGGGGGGGGGGGGGGGGGGGCGTAAAAAGCCGTTTTTGCATCAAGCTCTTTTTCCAAAAACACGTCATTCCGACGCAACAGAGCGTTGAGCAGGTCCCACATTTTTTAAACTCCTTGCTGTATAGGCAATTTTTACAGCAGGGTATATAAGAAAATTGCCTACGGAGCAAGGGGCTTGGAAAATCCGGAAGATCACGCGACGGCTCCTCCATGCGCCTTGCTCCGTAGGCAATTTTCTTACAGTTCCTGCGGTAAAAATTGCCTATCTAGCAAGGAGTTAGGAAAATCTGGATACTTTTCTTCTCTGTTGCGTTAGAATTAAGTGTTTTAGGAAAATTGTGTGCATTACTTAGTGGCCATAATTTTTTTCGGTCTTTCACGTGTAGTCTAGGCAAACAAGGAAAAGAGCCTGCAAAAATCCCGGGTAGCAATGTTTTCATCGATTTCTATGTAATTTTTGACGCTGAATCCGAATTTCAACTGTGCGCCATTAAATTCGGACCGGAAAGTTGCCAAATTTGGCAAAAATGGCCTAAAATCGTACTTTTTTCCGGATTATGGCCTGTAACTTGCCAAAAATGGATCTGACGATAAAATTAGTTATTTTCAGAAATAAAGCTCGATAAATTTCCTATAAAAAAGTTCCTAAACACTTTTTTGCTCAAGGCAAAATCAAGCGCGCTGGCGGGCTCCAAACTTTGAAAAATGAGCGAAAATTTGGTTATTTGCGGGTTATGGCCTGTGACTCGTCCAAAATTGATCCAACGACAATTTGGTCGTTTTAAAAAAAAGTTCGTTAAATTTCCAATAAAAAAGTTCCTATACACTTTTTTGCTCAAGGCAAAATTAAGCGCGCTGGCGGGCACCGAACTTTGTATAATGTGCGAAAATTGCGCATACTGTAATGTGTTGGATTATCCTTATTATTTACATCAATTCATTTCACTAAGTGTAAATTTTACCATCTTCACTTAATTTGTCCAGAAATTACTCGTCGGACGATTAAAACAGGAGACATCGGGCAAAAACCGCGAAAAACACAATTTTTGCTCATTTTTCAAAGTTCGGAGCCGGCCAGCGCGCTTGATTTTGCATTGAGCAAAAAAGAGTATAGGAACTTTTTTACAGGAAATTTAACGAGCTTTATTTCTGAAAATATCTAATTTTATCGTCAGATCAATTTTTAGCAAGTTACAGGTCATAATCCAGAAAAAAGGCCGATTTTAGGCAATTTTTGCCAAATTTGGCAACTTTCCGGTCCGAATTTAATGGTGCAAAGTTGAAATTCGGAATCAGCGTCAAAAATTACGTAGGAATCACTGAGAGCATAACTACCCGGGATTTTTGCAAAAACCGCAAAAAACGTAATTTTCGTTCATTTTTCAAAGTTCGGTGCCCGCCAGCGCGCTTAATTTTGCCTTGAGCAAAAAAGTGTATAGGAACTTTTTTATTGGAAATTTAACGAACTTTTTTTTAAAACAACCAAATTGTCGTTAGATCAATTTTGGACGAGTCACAGGCCATAACCTGCAAATAACCAAATTTTCGCTCATTTTTCAAAGTTTGGAGCCCGCCAGCGCGCTTGATTTTGCCTTGAGCAAAAAAGTGTTTAGGAACTTTTTTATAGGAAATTTAACGAGCTTTGTTTCTGAAACTAACTAATTTTATCGTCAGATCAGTTTTTGGCAAGTTACAGGCCATAATCCGGAAAAAAGTCCGATTTTAGGCCATTTTTGCCAAATTTGGCAACTTTCCGGTCCGAATTTAATGGCGCAAAGTTGAAATCCGGATTCAGCGTCATAAATTACATAGGAATCGATGAAAACATTGCTACCCGGGATTTTTGCAGACTATAGCCCTTTTCATGACTTATTTGCCTGAACTAGTGTTGTTATCCGTTTTTCCAAACATCACCTACCTAAAAAGCTATCGCAATACGCAATTTTAAAATTCGGCAACGCTCGTGACGTCATTTTCCGAAGACCTTTGTCCTTTAAAACACAAAAAATGAACAGAACTCTAAATAATAACCCCCCCCTCGAGTTCCAGCTCCTTACAACTAAACAACGAGGAGATGCATCAATTTGAAAGGAAAAAATGGCAACTTAGGAAGCGCATATCTCACTTATGAATATTTTTCAGGCATATGTGTATAGGTATAAAAAGTCTTATTTTGAGTAGAAAAATCGACTCTGAAAGTTAGGTATGTTAACTTCTGGACATCCTGTAAAACTGATTCCACCCATCTTTTAACAGGCTTAAGAGCCAAAAATGACAATACTTGGTGAAGATTTAAAACTGTTGAATGCCCTGTTTTAAATCTCAGAGCTTAGGAGGAAGTCCTCATTAAACTGAATTCATATGGTTCTATTTTTTCAACTTTGTTGGATGAAAATTTTTAACTGTTCTCAGCCTGATTCACACAGTCCAAAATTCAATCAAACTTTTCCTCTGGCTCTAATGAAGGGACATTTTTCCCATTTACTTAAATT